ATTTATTGTAGAATATACTTTCCATCGTTACTTATGACTTCTTGCCAGCGTGATGGCAACTTGTAAATGCCATTTTTAAAAAATGATTTATTTTTAGAGGCGAACAACTCAACTAGTGCTTGCTTGACATCAGCTTCAGTTTTGAATTTTTTTTCTTGTAAAAAGTTTTGCAAAGAGAGAAACAAGTGATAATCGGAGGGTGCTAGGTCTGGGGAGTATGGTGGATGCGACAGAATTTCCCAGCCTAGCTCTGCGATTTTCTGACGAGTCGCCAAAGCAGCATGTGGTCTGGCATTATCATCGGTAGCCATGTTTTCACGATCGCGTCTCACTTAATAATGACATGAGACATCTTTGTTTCAGTTTATTTAGGAGAGCACATGTGTGTAAATGCAATGATAAAGAGAGATAGTCATACATGTCTCAAATCAACATGTGCATATGGATTGAAACTTGAAGTGACACTATCGGACAGAACTTTCCGGTAGACCTAATAAATTGTTTGATACTTCGCATTCCGTTGCAGTTCTGTTTAAACCTTCCTTTAACCACTTAGCTGCGTCGATCTATTTTTACGATCAATTTTGTATGCGTTTTTAATCGATCATACCGGGTGCGGTTCCTTTTGGCAAGTTGTTCTAGAATTATTCTACAATGTGCGAAATTTATGAGTATGTTTCATAAGCATTTTAGTCTAAATCGTAGAAGAGATATTTTTGTTGCAAGATATAAAATTGTCATTGTCTTATGACGTGTGTATACGTCATTCAGATGTTATTTTGTGACATTTATGAAAAATTTGGTTTATCATAATATTTAGATGATTTATAATACGAGTGTACAGGATGTGCACTCAAAGTTAATCTTTTTGTAGATCATATTAACCTTTTACGTTTTAAATTAATTTTTTTGTAGATTATAATCATCTTTTGCACTCTAAATTAATCTTCTCTGGATAATGTTCAGCTTTCAGCAAATCAAATAAATCCCCTTTTGCAAATCACATTTCGGTAAATGAAATTCACCCTTCTACAAAATAAATTCACATATTAATAAAACTCATTAAATTTACAAATGAAACAAAAGACAGCGAAACTCGATCTGTGAAAAGATTAATTTTACTCGGAAAGAGAGCTGAATTTTATTTGCAAAAGGATCAATGAAAGCTGTAAAAGGTTTCATTTAATTTGCTCAAAGGCGAATGTAATCTAGACAATGATTAATTAATTTAAAGTGCAACAGGTGAATATAATCAACAACAGAATTAATTTCGAGTGCGAAACCTGTAATGTAAATGGCTTTTATATGTATAATACGAATATACCATAAAGTCGCAAAAATAATGTAAAAAAAAGATAGATACTTCTTCCATTATACCCATTTTAATATATCATTCTAGTCAGTCCAGAAAAGTCAACGATACAACCACTAACTAAATGCAACAATACCTATCACTTTTCCGAAATGATTTCATATTATTATAATATAACTTAATTAATCATAAAATAAAATTGTTTTAGCTGAACAAAGAGCTTAGCCGATTAAATCTGAGAAAAATTGAGCGCACTGCTTGTGATAGTACCTTCTCAGGGAATTAATATAAAAAAGACCCTATTTTTGTTTTCGAGAAATTTTCTATTTTCCGATTTTGTTTTTTTTTGGTTTCTCATTTTTGATAACCACAGCTTGCAACCGAAAAATCTGAAAAAATTCTATAATATGCGGCGTGATGTCCAAAAGAAACCAGATTTTTTTTTCAATTTTAAAAAGCCATCGAAGAGGGGAAACAAGCGGAAAAGCGCGCAATCTAATTAACCCTGTAACTACCCTTACGAAGTAGTGTCAGTTACAGGATTGAAATTGATCGCAGATGACTTTTCCTTGGTCTGCTATCGAACAGTATTATACTCATCGAAAAACGTCTAAGGGCAATTTCGACCATCTTAATCGTTTAAACCTTCCTATTCTTGACGGAGATTTATTTCGGCGAGTTAAATGCAAACTGGATCGTTTCTGCATCGATTCGAACGTTGATAGAATGCTATTATAAATTGTTAGGCAATTCTGAAATCGTTATTAAATTATGCGATGGTCTATGGTTTTCAAATTGCCCGTTAATCATCGTTACCGATACTCGTCAGAGCCAGAAACGAGCAACCTGCTCCCGACGCTTACGTTCGTAACCAGTGACGCGACTTATAAATATATTTGCCCGGGTAAAACCGTTTAGCACGGCTGTCGTTCTTCAAACAAGATTAGACAGATTAATTTTCCGTGTGTTGCAGGGAGACTCACCTATTGGAGACGCGGTGTTGGCTTCCCGAAGGCTGACGGTTTCTGGTTCAACAGCAGCTTCGTCTTCCTCGATCAATGGCGGCGGTGGTGCCAGGGGTCGCGATTCGTAGCCCCAATGTTGCCGGAAAGCACGTGCCCCGCCGTCCAATCGAACACGTGGCAGTTCGACGAACATCGCATCCCCCAACTGTCAATCAAAAGTGATAATTATGTTTTCAATGTGCCAGCGGTACGGTTATTTTAAATGATTTTTCTATATTTAATCCCAAAATCTTAGCAACTTTTACATGGCTTGATTAAGTGTTTTAAAATACGTCGAATTCGTTATGAAGTTATCGAACATAATCTACTAAGTATGGATATTATTATCAATTATTCTATCGTCAATGTTTATGAACTACGATTAACATTAACCCCTTGCCATACTTTGACGTGTCCGACTCGTCATGAAAATTTCTAATAATAACTTATTGAGTATAGATGTGTTATTCTATCCGTTAAAGTTGGAATAAAATTCTAATCTCTTGTCATCAATATTGAAGCATTTAACACGTTCCGTGCCACGTGTACCATCGATGGTACACGCTTGCATGTTTACTTAGTGAACTGAACAAATTGTTTACAAGAAATTTAGAACCGAAGAATCAATTTCCACCGCAAGAATGGGCGTTGATAAGTTTTTGTTACGTTGTTATGTGTACGAGAATTAATAATTGCACGTAATACATCAAGTTTTAGTAAAATATCAAAGTGTGAAGATTCGAGTAAAAAAAGCTCGGCACGGAACGTGTTAAGTAAAGTTTTAGTCACACAATAAACATCAATTTCCTTTCCCTCTTAAGAGATTAATGCAATGGAAAAATTTCTAATCGCAGTAACCGCGAAGAAAATGGTATGCCAAAGAGTTAACAACGAGAAAACTGCGTTTATTCGAATTTCGTACGATTTTTATTTGCACGAATTTATTCGAATGAAGAAGTTTAATCAACATTTCGGTAACTGTGAATGAAAAACTCAGAAATCAGTCATTTCGACTGGTTTGGTAATTCTATTCTTAACGCAAACGTGAAATAAATATAAGAGTTTTCTCCCTCATACAGCGATTTATTAACGACAAAGAAGGTGGTAATCAACGAAGCTGTGAAGGAAATCGTAGTGCAAGGGGTTGAAATAAGTGGAAATGATCTCGTAAGGGCATTATATTTATATTACGAATCATTTGTACAATTCGTTGTTTTGTTGAACTGTTTAAGTAAAATCATTTTTGTCTGCCTTCAGAAAATGCACCCTTAAAAGCAATAACGTATTGGTATAAAAATGACGAATATAATTTTAGTATAAAACTAAAAACAGAGGAGTTTTTTATGTTACGATTTAAACGTCGATTAATTAAATCGTTGAAATTAAATATTTAAAAATCTCTATCGAAAACGTAATATCATTTTAAAAACTGTCTAGTTTTGGAATTAAACTCTTTTGGAACAGACGTTGTTTAAATAATAGACGCACATAGAACATAAGCACTTGTATATTAGTGGTACATAATGAGAGGCATAAATACAACTTTTGAGTGGCTATCTTTTTATTCGCGTTGCCATCATGCACGTGTATCAACGACCGTACAATTGTACGCATTCTACGTTAATGAACTCTGTTACCCAGATCGTAAATCTGCCAGCGGAAAGGCTCATACAAACTATACGTGTCCGCACTAGCAGCCAGTGATTTTTGTTGACAGTAGCAATTTATTCTCGTCCACGTTAGAGTGTAACAAGCGTTGCAGTGAACGTGCTCCTGGCAACATTTCATCCGTAGCATCAAATGGAACATAATATCTCAAGCAATGAATTGCGATTGTTTCAAACAATCAACGGTTTTCGCATTAGTCATGTTGCAAAAAGAATTTAACGCGGATAAAATTACTTCGCGTAAATATGCAATGTATTAATTCCAAACAATGTGCGATAGATTCGTTTAAAACAACGTGTCATAGATTAATTTAGGACAATTTGCTATATGTTAATTTAGAACAATGTGCGATACATTAATTTAAAACAATATATAATAGATTAATTTAAAATAATCTGCAATACATTAATTTAAAACAATCTGCGATACATTAATTTAAAACTATGTAAAATCTAAATTCGTTCAGTTAAAAATCAACGAACGTTCCATTGTTGAACTATTCTATACATTATTTCTGTTTCCAATGCATTGTTTTATTCTTATTGAGAGTTTAAAAAAGTTTAACATTTTATAATAATGAACATTCGTTTCATAATATTGTATCAAAAACACTTTTGACTATCAAGAATACTATTTATTATCACTATATGTCAGAAAGTATTGTACATATTACATAAATTATCCTTCGTTTATAATTTTGGAACATTGACATTAAAAAATCGTTTACAATGAATATATAATTTCTTTGTCTGAAAAATCATTACACAAAATAAATCAATTACAACATTGATATTAAAATCGTTAAAAAATCGTATTGTGAAGAATCTACTACGGACAATAAAAAACTGCTCGAATTTTTTTGCTGTAATTGTGCGTTTGACCCTTTCAGTGCTGACGAAAATGAGAAAGTATAGTAGAAAAAGATATATTGCTAAATTACTTTTATAGTTCTATATTATATTTGTACACGTCAACTTGTATTATATTCATATTATAAATTAGATAAAAAACAAAGAATTTTTCGATGAAAAAAACAAGGTCACCGTTATATTTTTAAATAAAACTAGAAAATTTTAACTTCATAGTATTGTAGGCGACGTCGAGACGAATTCAACGACCTGCTAATTGATGACCTTTAGATGACATTGAAGAAAAAATTGCCATGAATCTATTGCCATATTTGAAATAATTTAGCGATACATAACACGAAGTCCTCGCATGTAAACATAAACAAATGAACGTAAACATTACAAATTTTCATTTATTCAATTTCAGACCTTAACACATAAAACAAAAGAAAAAACCAAATATTAACCAATTAATATTAACCAAATATATAAAACCAAATATTATGGCAATAGATTCATGGCAATTTCTCTTTCAATGTCACTTGATGGTCATCATGTAGCAGGTCGTTGAATTCGTCTCGACGTCGCCTACAAAATACCGTGAATTTAAAATAACCTAGTTTCATTTAAAAATATAACGGCGACCTTGTATTTGATCGAAAGTCAATTTGTTTTAAAATTTTTAAAAATTGCAATTTCTTGTTGGTTAAATTCTAATTAACTTTGATGGGAAACATTCTTTTGTCAGACAAAATCCGAACGGGCTGAAAAATCCTGCGAACTAATTTGTGGCTCATCCTGTATATTACGTCGAGTATTTTATCAGATATTTATTTTGTTTTCTTCTAAATTTGTTTTTGTCTTTTCTATCTTCTTTATTTTGAATCCTTATCTATTTAGCGAAAGCACAAACTCGCTTGTCCCGGCGACACACGGTGGATAGATAGGAACAATAGATTGTACCTCGCTGCATCGAAAGTTATTTATGACTCGACCTAATGCATATAAAACTAACTTAATGCCACAATATGGCACTTGGCTGTACAACGTGCCGACTAAACACTCGGAGGGTTAAACGTACGAAATTGTAACACAAAGCAACATATTCACTTTCATAACCATAATCGAGTAAACAACACTACCATTTAACGATACAGCTGTTCATCGTTCGACATTGTACCAGCCTAAACTGCCCAAACCAAAATCGACCTACGATCTATTTAAACAGGAAAAACTGCAATTAGATGCACAATCAGTGCAGCCGCGGCGACGGAATTCTAAATTGCCTCTGCCAACGACAAGCGTCTGTCAGTCGTTGCCCCCGAAACCTCGAGCAAAGCGGCGAAGCCGGGGTCTCTTTGCAAATGAGCCGAAGGAAACGATTTCCTCGGAAGATCCTGAGAAACCCGAGGCGAAAGGTACGTTTCTCTCTCGGCGACAACACTCACATAACCCCGGACCACGTCCATCCCGGCGGAGCAGATTAACGGGCCATGTAATTAATCCTATTAGAGTGATTCGACGCGATCGAACGGAGAAAGACCGGTTCTACGGATCGGCTTGATCCCGATCGAAAGGAGCCGCGAGAAAAAGGAGGCGCCGCTTATTCGTGGAATACCAGTCGCCGAAGAAGCTTGACAACGACTGGCCGGTGTCTGCCGGTTTGTCTTAAAATACTGCAGATTGACCTGACGACACGCTGACGTCACTAATTAGAACTCATTGAATGCGGTGTGCATCATTGCCACCGGGCCTCGTGAAATCCGAGGGAACGGAGACGATCCCTTGCCACGATTTCTGCCGGTTTTAAACCCCTCCTTCTTCAACGTGCACGTCGCCGAGTGAATTGAAGCGTGTCGGTTGGTCTGGAAACGCAGTACGCTTGTTCCTTTGGCGGTGCCACATTTTTTGGAGCACGCACCGTGCACGTACCGCGGCAGAATGCAGTCCTAAAGTATGAGTGAAACGCGGATCTTTATAAATTTATGGTATAAGATGCAATTAAAATCGCAGATTAACGAAAATTAATTGCGTTATTGTTCCACGTTCGACGCGAGGAACTTTCTAGTCGGCGTAAGAGATTTTGTAGTTTTTCAGATTTTTGTAGAAAAATTAGCGAGGATGAGAATTTTTATAATGATTCACAATTTGATCATAAGATTATGACAAGTGCAGTTTCCATTTTGTATGATATTCGAAGCTTATGTAATTATTAAAATTTATTAACTGTGTTTATGGAATTGTTAAATTGTATTAACTGTAAAACTATTTCATAAGTTTATGTCAAGGTTACAATTTTATAATTTTATCATTTACGATGTATTTTTTATCTTATATTTCACATATAGTGACAGTATAAACATAGATACATTAATACAAGATTGACGAATTCTTTTCTTCCTTGTTAAGATGTAGATTTTCTGCAGTTTTATATATCATTAATGCATAACGATGTAAT